TAAGCAAATATAATTTGTACGTAGCATCTCAGTACTATTTTCAGAGCGGTGTTTTTTAGTCTGAAACTTACTTGAGAAAATGGGCTGTGTGCCTGCAGTCCCTGATGGCAGACTCTGGGTAATGTCCTGCATCTGTGTCTTCTCCCATGTGAGTGTGCACAACTTTCCCACCCACCTCGTGCAGCGGCCATGCCTGCTTTCCTTTGCGCTGGGAGCAAGCTGCTGTTTCTGCAGCTGGCCGTGTCTGGGTGCTCCTGATGTCTGCCCTGAGCCCCTCAGCACCTCCAGTCGCATGATGGAGTGGCAGCCGTGCTCTCTGTGCACACCAGCAGCTCCAGTCTGGCCAAGTTAATTTGGTTGCTGCCTTTTCTGCCTCTCGTGTGATGAACTCGTGCCCTTTAGGCTGGGAACCAGAGCTGCAAAGTGCTTTCCTGGCTCAAACTGCACCAGTATGTGATTGCCTTGTATGTGGTAAGGTAATTTACCTTCAGCACTACTGCAAAGGATAAAGAAGCATACAGATAACAAGTGCTTCATCCTCAGTTGTTCAAGGGATGCCACAGTCAGCATGGGCTGTAGAAAGTATGACAAAGTCCTGGACAGATACTTTATCCATAAATTCAACTTTCCCCTTTTCTGTGACTATCTGGATATTGTGGGTTAGCAGTGGAGTTTTGGGGTCTCATTGGGTTGGGGTTTTTTTGCTGCAGAAACACTTAGTTTTTTATTCTAATGTTGTGAGGAGAGATGGCCGCAGTGCACTGGCAGAAACTAGTAAGTGACTCGCACAGAGTCAGTTGTTCAGCATAGTCTTGCCTCAAACACTGTAAAAACATGGACAAAAAAAAAGAACACCTGGCAAATGGTGTGGTTTTACAACAAGAAAGGGAGTTAATGACATCTATGGTTATGGTTAAGTAACATAACTTGCTTCTTTTCAGCGTACATTGAAAACATTCTGCGAACAGTGAGATTCCATTTAAACTTTGCCCTTCCACAAAATAATTTGGAGAACTAAAGCAAATGGTAGAGTATGGCTCAAACCAGAGGCCACAAGGCAGATGAGAAGCCCTGGTTTCAGCCCAGCTAGCTCAAAGCAGGGCTGAAAGCCAGGTGTCAGCTGCCAAGCAGGGGCAGCTCCTTGCACGCTGCCTGCTGCTCCCTGGCTGCTTCAGTGCTTTAGTGCTTTTCTTCCCGGTTCTGAATAGAGTGATCTGCCTTTGGAGGGGAATTAGCTTGGAAGGTGGCCTGTTGTTGTGTGACAAACCTATTACTCACTGTGGGAGCAGATGATGTGGTTTCCTTGAGAAAACAGTATGGTGCAGTTATGTGAATAAAGATGCTTGCTAAGAAGGATTTTATGTAGTTTCAGTTTATTTCTTTTTATCTTTCAATGCATCAGCTTCATTCACTGTTTCCACACAATGTTAGTATTGTCTATACGTATAAGCTGCTGCATTGTTCATTTCTGAAAAATGTGTGTTTTTTCTTTTAGTTCTTTTATGAGATGATTGAGGAGGTGTTTGTCTCTAGCATATAGTCATGGTACATAAGATAGTGCAGCATAGCTAAGGTAGAATCTCCATTACTTTTGTTTTGTTTTGGTGCTATATACAAAGGTTCCAGGACAGCAACTGTTCTGCTTCAATCAGGGATGCTGCTGCTTCTGCTTTGAAATGGATCTCTTCAGTGGGAACTTCACTTCTCCTCAGATCTCTGTGTTGGGTCGATTTAGTGCAGGTGTTACGTGAGGGTTACATAGAGTTGGAAGAACTTGGAAATTAATATGGCATTGTTGAAGCAGATCCAGAGTGTCACTTAGTGCACCAGGCAATGACTGAACTGCAGTAAGAGCTGAGAAGCAGCATTTAGAGGTGCATCCTAAATCAGGGGAGACCTCATTGCACTGTACAACCTCCTGAAGGGAGGTTGTGGTGAAGAGGCATTTGGCCTCTTCTCCCAGGCAACGAGCAGGACACAGGCCAATGGCCACAAGTTGTATCAGAGGAGGGTTAGGTTGGACATAAGGAAGAACTTCTTCTCTCAGGGGGCGGTCAGGCACTGGAATGGCTGCCCAGGGAGGTGGTGGAGTCGCCGTCCCTGGCAGTGTTCAAGAGGTGTCTGGATGAGGAGCTGCGTGATGTGGTTTAGTGCTTGTGGTGGCAATGGTGATGAGGAGATGGTTGGACTGGATGATCTTACAGGTCGTTTCCAACCTTGTGATTCTGTGATCCTCGGGAGCAGCTCGCTGTGGTGCTTGTAACCCTGTGAGGGCATTCCAGCAGAGCAGGACAGGGCTGTGAGGAGGTGGCAGTGCCATGTGCCCTGCAGCCATGTTCTGGGGTTCAGCCCTGGCCTGCAGCTTCTGTGCTCTCGTGTACACAAAAGAAGGGAATGCCCTTATAACACAGTTATGTTCAGGGGTTTTCTGCCGCTTCTTGTTTCCTTTAAGAAGACGTGTATTTCACATCTTACTTGAGGTGAATGTTACCTCTATCCTAGCTTGTTTTGTTTCACTGTTTTCCTGAATAAAAGCATGAACAGAACAAAGCATTCTTTTCTACACTTTTAGCTTCTTGTTTCTGATTAAACCCAAGTAAGTGAATTGAAGAACTTTTGTTTGCTTCAGAGAAATGTAGGTTAGACTTTGTGTTCTCAGATTACGTAATTAGAAAATAAATTATCCTCACTCAGCTTCCAGTTCACACACTTCTGCTTTTTATTTATTTAAAGAACTTCATGAAGAAGCAGAGTATTAAGATTTTTCCTCTCTCCTATATATGTAGTAACCTAAGTATTCACTTCTGTATGTGTGTGTTTAGTATTTACATATAAGCTTTTGTACATTTTAATATATATCTATATGATTTTGACACTGGTTTTGTATTTTGTATTAAATGCTACATTCATTCTATGCCAGATGTTTTGGGGTTTTACAGCTGCTTCTACATAGCTTGTTTTGTGCAGTACGCTTTATGTACTGTGTGCAAACTAACTCTTGCAGCAGATCAATTCGTGGTAGCTTGAATTGAGTTCTTATTTGGCCTTACAGAAATTGCACATTAATAGGAATGCATAGTTCTCTCACTTGTGAGAGCAGCCTCTGTGATCTTGTGGTTGGATGATTCAGTCAGTATAGCTGTCGCTGCCATGTCTCTGGGAACAAAACTTTTTTGTTTATGATTCTTTCCTATTTATCCTCTGAAAGGCGAAACTGAATGAGCAGTTGCAGAGAAAATAGGAAGCGTGCAAATCTTCTGAATTAATTTTTAACACAAGGGCACATGTCTGTATTTTATCACTTACAGAGATCCATTTATTGAAATCCAAATCGCTGTGCTTTGTTTAAAGCCAAAACACAGACATGAGCAGAGTAATTCCACTTAAATTTCTATGCATGTGGATATTGTCCAAGCACATTTTCTTCTTGCTGTGTTTCCCTCTGCATGCTCTTTGGGAATGGCACAGGACCCAGTGCAGATTAGACATCTGATGTTTTAGGAGGTCCAAACGCGGATTTTAGATGTTAACTTTGCTGGCTAAAACAGTCTCTTCCAAGCTTATGTCAGAGATGGCCAAGGGAAGGATAGTAAGGTGGCCAGCCCATGTGCCAGCTCCAAAATTTAAAATGTGTTCATGAAAGGCTTCTTTGTTTTTCAAACAGGCTAAGCATTCAGGCATAAAGACTTTCAAAAAAGGGAAAGAAACTTCTGTGCAGATTGAAAGCAGCAGATGCAGCATCCGGAATTTATCATTCCCTTCTGAAGTGTCTTGTCACAGGGCAATTTCCATTTGCTTAAGTCTTAGTTGGACCTGTGTTGTTTCTTCTTTGGCCTACACTGAAGGAAGGAAAGAGCTGTCTCCACCAAGCCCTGTCCTGTGGCAGATCCCCAGCTGCACCGCTGCCCTCAGCAGGCCCTTGTGCTGGGCAGGCAGCCCTGCCACCTGTTGTGCATCTGCCCACACTGAGGGAACGCAGCTGTGTCTTCTCTTGAGCCCCTTCCCCTGTTACAGTGGGGGATTTGGTCATAACTTCAGAAATCAGAAGCCTCCCTTTTTGCATCTATTCCAGTTCCTGGCTGCGTGGTGTGATTCTCACATGGGATTAGCACATATGGAATTATAAGCTTATCATTTTGCGTTTGTTTAGTAAAGTGACTATGCTAGAACGATGCCTCTTTATTCTATTATCTATGCATGTGCTTTTTCATTTAATCCGCTTGCCTTATTGATTAGCAGAATTTATTTTCATTATCCATGCAAACATGTCAGTACTCAAAGAATAGAAAGGTGTATACCCTTCCTTATCTCCCCCCAAAATTTTCTGTCATCTTTCAGTGAAAGAGGTCGAAAGACTAGCACAATTTTCAGATCTTGATGTGCGTTTGTGGCATTGCTAAATAGAAAAATAGAAGCCAAATCCCAATCACATGTAAGAACATTGAAGATACCATCATTGCATTGTTGCATTTTCATATTTGGAGCTTAATCTTCTTTCACTGGCGCAAATACTGTTCCTTTGAACCTAATGGGCAAGCGGTGAGTGAAAGCAGATTAAGATCTCTGATTAAACTTTATAGAAGCATAAAGTATTCTCAAAAGCTATTTTTAATGCATTAAGGTTCATATCCTTAAATCCCTGACAGAGACAGGGCAGAAAATGTCCCTCCAGATGGGTGTACAGAACGGGCAAGGTTGCCCGCTGCTCTGCTTCCTTTTCCCTTCAGAGAGGCCACAAAGACTGTTTTTAAACCTCAGTTGAGTCTTTGTGGACATCCTAACTACACAAACTTTAGGTGCTGTTTTATTGTGATTTCTGACAGTCTGTGGTCTGATTCAACAGTGTCTCAGTAGCTACAAGTCCAAAAGGCACACAGGCATAGTTTCTGGTCTGTGGGGTCAGCTTTTTGGTTTTTTATCCAGCTAATGGTCTTTTGAAAATGCTGAGAAAAACAATACCATCAGCATGGCTGTGATGTCTCTTTCTCTTTCCATTTCAGGCCCTTCAAACCATCACAGCCAGTCAACGCTGAGGCCACCTCTCCCTCCTCCTCACAACCACTCGCTGTCCCACCATCACTCGTCTGCCAACTCCCTCAACAGGAACTCGCTCACCAACCGCCGCAACCAGATCCACGCACCTGCTCCCGCTCCCAATGACCTTGCGACCACACCGGAGTCTGTGCAGCTGCAGGACAGCTGGGTGCTCAACAGCAACGTGCCGCTGGAGACCAGGTGGGTCACGGGGCCCGGCAGCGCTCTGCGGTGCCCTTCGATTGATGAGGGGTTTTGCTCTTCCTTGGGTCAGTGGTGGTTTTAGTTGATGCACAGTGAGAGTTCCTGACATCAGAACGTGTGCGCTACGCGTCGTCTGAATTGCGTTGCTCTGGGAGGCGGACAGGTGGACGTCTCTGTCCTATTTTAAAGTATCTGTTACACACGTGGACAGTTCTTGTGTATTCAGCTGACGGTACTATTGTGGCATATCTTCTCACAGGCACAGGGGGAGCTTCTTATAAGTCACACTGACTGTGTTGCTGGAAAACTATGTGCTTTGCCCTTCCTGAAATCACAAACAGAGGCTCATTTATAATTATGCAAATATGCATTTTGGGAGACTTGAGAAACAATCCCAGATCCAAGAGTGGTAGTACCATAATTTTCATTTATATTTCATCCAGCATGCAGGCTCATTCTAATCTCTTCTGTATGTGTTAACAGCTTGATGCCTGTGGGGCAAACAGTTGCATACAAATTTAAAGGTGCAGCACTTGGGTCAGTCAAATAACTAAGTGCCTGGTGGGCTGTGGTTCTCAGCACTATTCTCAATGAGATTTGTGGTCATTCAGGGTGTCGGATGCCTGCTTGGAATAGCAGGATTTTAAAAAAGCCATTGTGGGGATTTCTGCAGGAGCGTGTGTTTATGTCCTTGTTCACAGACACGAGGCCAAGTCCTGCTGCAGTTGTCAGAGCAGCAACTGAACATGTGCTAGAACTGGAATTTGCACACCCGAGTCTGCCCCTCTTGCTGATATGGTAGAATTTTACGGAATTCTAGAAAATTCAGTTTAAAAAAATATGTGAAAAACAAGATTATAGTAGAAGACTGATCTTGCTGGCCTAGATCCGTATAAAAACACAGAATGCAGGTAGGGCAGCTGGACTCCTTGTAACACTGGCTTATGCATGGTTTCAGCTATTCGGTTGCCACAGCTCTGAGTTACGTTTCAGTTGCGGCCTTCTGGGAATTTAAGGCTGCTCTACCAGCTTTCATGCAGAGTAGCCAGCAAAGTGTAGTTACACCTCCATACAGGCATTCTTTAGTACAGTGGTACCTGTAATTTGTCATTTCTAATGTCATAAGATTGCCCCAGACATTTTCAGGGAAAGAATTCCTTGTGATATTTGCAAAATGGTTCTTTGTCAAAATGCTGGCAGCCCCAAGCAATAACACTGGGCTTCTTTACATTCTGATTTTGTACCTATTTCCTGCCAGTGGGGACTGTCAATTCCAGTACTACTTTGGACCTTATGCTTTTCTGCTTTGTATCACAAACTCTCACAGAATACGCATGTATTTGTGCTACTGACCAAAGTAGTGCTGTTATTTCTGGAGGCTGCAGGACACCTGGCTACCAGAAAACTGCAGTTTTCTGTAGGTGCATTTGTCGGAGGTGAACATGGAGATACCAGAGAGTCTCCTGACAGGACTGCTGCTTTCTAAAGGCTCTTCCAGAGGTGCTTCAGAATTGATTTTTTTTTTTTTTTTTTTTTTTTTTTTTTTTTTTTTCTTTCTTTCTGACATGCACACCTGACAGGACTTTATGACAAGTTTCATCACAAGAGTATTAACTCAGAAGATTAGGACTTTTTTTTCTTGTTTGCAGTGAATTTTGCTGAAATTTATGCCTGCAGAATCACTGCAGACTTTCCAAATTAGCCAGCACTCTTTAGAGCTAGTATTTCCTCTAAATTCATGCCAGTAGCCACAAAAACAAATGACACCTTTTGGCATCCTGTCAGTTCCGCCTTCATTTTTTGGCTTTACTTCGATGTGAGTGCTGATCCCACTCACACTGCCTCTTTCCAGAGCATTGCACTTGAATGTTTCTCCCTGTTGGCAGTTGTTCATCTCAGCAGCAGAGCACCCCAGAGTCAAAGCCACCGCTGACAGCAGCTGCTGTATCAGAGCCATCTTTCACAACTTTCAGTTTTCACCTTTTGGTTACTTTCAGTAGGTTCTTCTCTCAGCTGAAAACAATGTGCAAGTGGTCACATTACTGATTACGAAACAGAAAGCAGTACCTGAGCTGTCTGAAGGGAATGCTTTATGTCAGCGCTACAAAACTCAGATCACAGTTCAGATTCCAGACACCTCTTTACCTATCAGTGCCAAGTGTTGAAATCATGGAATGCTGCAGTGTGTCTGCATATTGTTATTTTTTCTCTGCTAAGAATGTTTTTCTCTTCCCTTCTTTCCTTTGCAATATTATGCTGGCTGAGCTAAACCCACAGACCACTTGGAGACAGCACATTTTTCAAATGCCTCTTTTCTCCATCTCTTGTTTCAGTATTGATTTCAGAAGGGTTAACCAGATTTGTATTAATTTAGCATGACAGGTTCTTTATTTGTACGTTCTTGTTTTCTGTTTTTTTTAATGAGGCTTTTGATTCAGTGCAAGCATAAGCATAAAATATGTTGATGAAATTCTCTATTATTAATTACTTTTCGGATTAAAAGGAAAGTAAATTTAAAGTCAGTGTGAAGTTTCCAGGCCTGTTTTCTTATTTATTACAGCATACATGTGATAGGCTAGACCAGATATAGGTATATAAGCTAGGAAATGAGAACCACGGCACTGTTAGTGGGAGCAGCCAGAGCAGGACAGGTAATGGCTCCTGGGACAGTGGCAGGCATGGCGTGCAGTGAGCTGAGGCCTGGGGGCAGGAGCGGAGCTGTGCTGGGACAGGAGGAGGGCGGTGCTCTCAGCACAGCTGCCTACCGGGCCACCTTCTAACTGAGCAGCGCTTGAGGAAACTGCTGTTCATCGTCAGTACGTATCATAAGCAATTAGTTGCTGTAACTGTCAGCAGTTATCTGTGCATTTACGAATGGCTGGTCCTTGAGGAGGCTCTCCTGACCTGGTGTTGAGGGCATGGTGCCTGGCAGCAGGTGGCTGCAGGCCTGAGGGTGCCTTGCAGAGGACGCCATCTTTAATCTCCCTTTGCTTCTGTTTTTGTGTTCCTCATCTCCATCTACGTAGGGAACAATTCTATCAGCTTTTGGTATTGTTCAGCTTATTTTGGCGACCAGCTTTTGCTCTGAAGTGAAATTTTGTTCTTATTCTGTGATTTCTCTGTTTCTATCAAACAGTTCTCTGGCTTTTTCTGCAGGATTGTTATGGTTTCAGTGGCAGCCACCTTTCCGTCTTTGTTTTCTTGTAGAGTTTACTGCTTGCCTATATTTGCATGTACTTTCTTCAGGCAACTATAGCGGGTCTCCATTTACCCTCTGTGGTACTTTATTTTTAACGTAATTACACTTACCTGAATTGCAGTAGCTTATTTCTTTTAGTGAAGCTAAAAAGTAGCAAAAATGCTTCTGCAAAGTTCCTAGTTCCACTGTGTTGGTGTGGTTAAATCTAGTTCAAAGCAGACCAATACAGATTTTTGTCTTACCTGGTCTGCTGCTGCTTTATGGCTGCAACAGGCCTCTGCTTTGGCTGTGAAATTGTTCAGTTTTCTTTGAAATTAGGGTACATAATGGAAGGGTTGAAATGTATTTAGCTAAGGATTGAGGAATGCATCGCTGTAGCATATCGTGATGTTATTTTTATGGTTCATTTCTGCAGTACTTAGCTGCTTTACCTTTAGGCCCGCAGCTGCTGTGTAATGCTCTTTAACTTTTATTGTCCTCTTGCAGCCTGTTTCAAACCATCTCCTCCTCCTCCTCCTTTCCAAAGTGCTGGTTTCTACGTTTTGCAGTTAAGAGGTGTTTCTTTATCACTTCTTTAATCATTGCTTTCAATGAGGGTGAATGATGAAAATACTACCTTTGAACATCGCAGTGTGGGTCTCATTACTTCCAGACAGCCAGAGAGGCAGCACTCTGCTTTATAGGTTGAAATGCTTTGAGGGCTTCTGTATCACAGAGCACAGGGGGAAAAGCACAGCTCTGCAGGAAGGTTTGCATCACTCTGTGCACTGCAAGGTTCATCTCTGGTACAGGAACCTTTCACAGGGCCATCTGCAGACGCCAGTCAAAAATGAAATGACTCATAAATGAGGATAACAGAATAGCTTTCATGATTGGATATTTGTCGAAGATTGCCTAATGTGCTAATGCCTGTTCCTGTGCTTCATATTGATGTTAATTAATTTAGTTGGTATGGTTATAATTAGTACTTAATCCAAGAGAAAAAAAGATTAAATAGAAGTTAGTCTTATTATTTAATCTCATAATTAGTTTCGTACTTAAAATATTTTCAATCAAAATCTTTTAGCTGCAAATATAATTTTATGGATGTGTTTGTAGTTTCTTTGAGCTTTCTAACAAGATTTGTTATTGTGTTTCAGTAAAGAATGTAACATAGCAACATTTCTCCTGTATTTCAGGAGAAACACTGATGATCTATGGTCACTCTTCTGGTAATTGTGAAATCCTTGTTTCCTTAGATCTTCTGGGCTGTAGTACAAAAGTACCAGTCAAAATCTGGGGTCATTTAAGTAAAGTTGTATTTAAAAATTGAAAATTGAAAAAATTGCCCTTCAATAATTCATGTTGCTGTTTGAAATATTTGTCTGCTCCTAGGGTTCGAGCTACATTTGTTTCTTTGCAAGTACTTCCATTGTAGTCTCCCTGTGGGTGAGCCTGAGGGAGAGAGAGCACAGGGAGATCAGAGGATGGAGTGGTACCGTGAGCTACATCCCGCTTCGCACCAATGCAAAGTCACAGCGTGCTGCAGCAGGGAAACACCTGTGCTGGGTGTTCTTGTAGCTGCAGCCTTCCAGGCAGCGAAGCAGTGAATGCAGTTGCTATGCATGGGCTAGAGCAGCCTTTGCAGAAGTCCGAGAACAGAGTAGAAGAATGGGATTTAGTGCTGAGATATTGGTTATTTATTTGAGAAGGAAATTAAACATCTGAAATGTTGTTAATACTTAAGTCAGATATTGTACTGTGATTGTGTCAACAAGATAAGCTACAGAACTTCTGACCTGAATATGTAAACTTGAAG